CAGGGCCAAGATCAACAATTCCTTTGCACGCGATTCCACTCTGCCTATTTTCATGCGTATTCCGCTGGTATTTTTGTATCTTTTCGGGTATTCCCTCATCTATTTTTATCATTTGAAAAAAAAATAGATTTATTTAGCGCCGAATAAAATCATCTAGAATGGTTTTGATCTGTTTTATTACTTAGCTCGAATAATATCTCCCGTTTTTAAACTTCGTCACTCGTACTACTGCTGCTGCTGCTACTACTACTACTACTACTACTACTACTACTACTACTACTACTACTGCTACTACTACTACTACTGCTACTACCCCTACTACTACAACTTCTACACTACTGCTACTGCTGCTGCCACTACTGATGTTGCTACTTTAGCTACTACTACAACTACTGCTGCTACTGAAGCTCCTACTGCAACAACTGCTGCTGCTACTACAACTTCTACAACAGCTACTACTACTACTACTACTACTACATAAAAAGCATTACATGGTTCGTCTCAATGGGTAACAGCAGTCATTAAGTGGTTGGCCCGTGCGTTACACGCATTGTTTACAATCGCTATTCATGTTTTGTTTGTATATTTTTTGTATAATTTTTTGTATTTTTGTATGCTTATTGTATTCGTGTGTTTTTTGTTGTATATTTCTGTATATTTTTGTATATTTTCGTATATACATACATACATACATACATACATACATACATACATACATACATACATACATACATACATACATACATACATACATACATACATACACACATACATACATACATACATACATACATACATACATACATGCATACATACATACATACATACATACAAAAAAATAATTTGTAAATGAAATTTATAAAATGGGACAATAATTCATTTACTGGGCTAGATTGATGGTAGCGCTATTTGGAATTGTATGTATTTGTATGTGTTTGTATGTGTTTGCTTTGTATGTATGTACTTGTGTGTGTGTTTGTTTGTGTGTGTGTTTGTATGTGTGTTTGTCTTGTATGCATGTATGTATGTCTATAGGTGTGTTTACTGCATGTATCGTTCTATTGAAATTGTATAATCCTTAAAGATTTACGTCTTCCTTCTCTCTCTCTCTCTCTCTCTCTCTCTTTTTTTTCTTCTTTCTCTCTCTCTTTTTTTTATCAAATTTTTCCCTCTTCAGGCATCCATTTTGTGTACGCTCTTAGTATATTTGATTTGTTTGGCTTTGATGGAAAACAAGACGTTTTAATTTCTTTGTTTTTTCTTAGAGTGTATTAAATTTCTTTGTTTTCTTTTTTCGGTTTTTCCCGCGTTTTTTTCGCACAATTTTTTTTAAACTATCGAATGAAATTTTTGTGTGTATTTTTGTATGGAGGAGGTTTTTTTGTCTTAAAATAGATGCATGTATATATGTTTGTATGTATACGTGTGTATGTTTGTATGTTTGTTTGTATGTTTGTTTGTATGTGGGTTTGCATGTGGATCTGTATGTGCACACACACACACACACACACACGCACGTGGTCTTTTTATGCCTCACCTATCTTTTGTGGAAGCTTTAAAACAGTGCAAATGAATTGCCACCATTTGTTGATTGTTGTCTATGGTGATGATGATGAGGAGGAGGAGGAGGAGGAGGAGGAATACGAAGGCGGAAATGATGATGACAATGATGAAGAAGAATTAGATGGTGGTGGTTATGATGATGATGGTGACATAGATAGTGGTGTTGACGATTGTATGACGATTCCAAAGATCATATTGGCCAATAGGATAATGATGACGATGATGACCGCGTGATGATGATGATAACCATCCTTTTCATTGTCATCATCATCATCACCATCATCATCATCATAACTGATCTGTCATTTTCGAGAAAACATTCATTCGTTCCATTTATTTAGAGAATCCATTTATGCTTCACCATCAGTTAGAGTGACATGTATGTCTCTATGTATATTTGTTTGTTTGTATGTATGTTTGTCTGTTTGTATGTATGTCTGCACGTTTGTCTGTATGTATGTTTGTGTGTATGTATGTGCGTGCGATAAGATGCTTATATCAATGCTTGGATTACCATGTCAAAAACAATTACACATTATGAAATTTATTAATATATCCGTCTGTCTTTTAGCGCTTTTTAGTTATTTTTTGTTTGTTTGTGCGTGTGTAT